ACTCATCATAATCGAACTCAATCCAATCCGTGGCATTCTCCGCCTACTTATGATCGTCTTCACTGGTATTCTCCGCCTACTTATGATCAACTTCAGTGGTATTCTCCACCAACTTATGGTCGTCTTCACTGCAATTCTCCACCTACTTAAGATCGACTTTAGTGGTTTTTTCTATCCACGGATAATCGTCCTTAATCCAATCCGTGTTCCTCCCCACTTTCCATCCATAATAGTCCTCAATCCAATACATGCCACTCACCACTTAACCCTCATAATCGTCCTTAAACCATTCCGTGTCACTAATCCACTCCTGATCGCCTTCAATCCAAGCCGTAAAGTCCCCCACATATTTCTAATAGACCGTTTTCTCTAACCACATAAGAAATAAGCAGAAGAAAACGCATACGAACAAGAACACGAAGTCGGGCCTTTTGCAGTAGATTTTGTAATATCTGTTATCAACAAGAGTTGTATTGTGATGTTCCTTATTATAATTATTCTATTCATACTCATCATTCGCACTATCTTCGTCTCTTGTGGTATCGGGTATTGTCGGGTATTGATGATTCTCATTTTCTTTATCTGGCAGACTCGTATAGATGTCCCCGCCCGTTCCGTTGGCTTCTGCTATTCTATTTTGAACCTCTATTCTCTCCTTCACTTTCTGTTCAGTCTCTTCCACCGTAGCTGGCTGTCTGTCTTACTTTTCTACACAACAATCTTTGTCCACTGCTGTTTTTAAATCGTCTTACATTTGTGGCGATGTTTACACGTTGCTTAAAATCGCCTCCGTTTTATTATCAGAGGCTAACGTCTCGCTTCGTTAATTCGGGTCTCTTTCGTTATTTGGGACCTGTTCCTGGCTTTGTTAATGTGGGTCTGTTTCGTTATTAGAGATCAGCCCCTGGCTATGTTAATTCGGGTCTGTTCCGTTATAAATGACTCTGTTTTAGACGCCTACGACCCAGATAAACAACTCTGGCTTCGCCTCGCTCCAGTCATCACCACAGAGGAACCGGACCATCAGATGACCCTCGTATTCGTTCGCACATTGGTATAACTCATCGAATGTGAGCTGGCCTTCGTACAAGACTCTCTCTTGCATCAGTATTTTGATTGCGATTATAGTTTATTGATCCCGCCATGTTGTCTTGTCGTGTTTCAACTTAGGATCCATGTAAACCTAGATGTGATTAATGCTTTGTTATATCCGGCCATCATATACCCTTGACCAGGCCTATTAGAAGCAGAATTTGGTTCTTTTCAACCTACCGAAAAGGCACGGGAAGCAACGGAAGGGACCTGGTCTATAGAGACTTATTTCCATTCCTGTCGGCAGGTTAATTGTAAAAATATCAACTGACAATTCAAGTCGCTATGGAATCAACACAAATGCCTTTGTGCCAATTTAAAATATCATTCTACAACATGCTTCATGCTTTTTATATTATAATTAGATTAGCAAAACCGCACACCGAGGGAGTTCAAAACCAGGTAAGTATAATATCAAAGTTAGTGTATGAGAGGTTGGAACTAAACTTGTAGTGTCTCGGGGTGAAGAGCTAGTGTTGTATTCTACACTAGTGTTGCTAGTGGGGTGAGTCGAGGTGTAGGGCTGGTGTGTGGTAGGGTGAGTCTGGGTGTATCTTGGTTATCTTGAGATGATTTCGGGGCTTTAGTGTCCCCGCGGCCCAGTCCTCGACCAGGCCTCCACCCCCAGGAAGCAGCCCGTGACAGCTGACTAACACCCAGGTACCTATTTTTGCTGCTAGGTAACAGGGGCATTGGGTGAAAGAAACTTTTTCCCATTGTTTCTCGCCGGCGCCTGGGATCGAACCCAGGATCACAGGATCACAAGTCCAATGTGCTGTCCGCTCGGCCGACCGGCTTCCTCCGGTGTAGGGCTGGTGTGTGGTAGGGTGAGTCGAGGTGTAGGGCTGGTGTGTGGTAGGGTGAGTCTGGGTGTAGGGCTGGTGTGTGGTAGGGTGTGTCTGGGTGTAGGGCTGGTGTGTGGTAGGGTGAGTCGAGGTGTAGGGCTGGTGTGTGGTAGGGTGAGTCTGGGTGTAGGGCTGGTGTGTGGTAGGGTGTGTCTGGGTGTAGGGCTGGTGTGTGGTAGGGTGTGTCTGGGTGTAGGGCTGGTGTGGTAGGGTGTGTCTGGGTGTAGGGCTGGTGTGTGGTAGGGTGTGTCTGGGTGTAGGGCTGGTGTGGTAGGGTGTGTCTGGGTGTAGGGCTGGTGTATGGTAGGGTGTGTGTTAGGGTGTCGGGATATAATCTGGAGTGTGATGATAATGGCTGTAGAAGGGGGAAGCTGGTGGTACCCAGGTAGTGAAGATGGTTACGGTAAAAGGTACGGAAGTGGCAGATGCATTAAGCAGATTGCCGGTGACAGAAGAATTGAATTCCAGTATTCCGGTGGACTACCTTGCTGTAGTCTGGCATGTGAGGATACTTCATTTCAGACCATGATGAAGACAACTAGTAGACAGGCCAAGCTGACTAAGCTCCTAAATTCTGTCAAGTAGGGGCGGACAATTTACTCTTGTCGGAGTATACTGCTGTGAAGGATTCACTGAGGACCTGAGGATTCACCAGGATGTAATCCTATTTAGAAACAGATGTGGTTCCTGTGGAACTAAAATGTACGATTTCGGAATTGTGAATCCAGATTTATGCATAACAAAAATTTGGGAGTTCATGTGTGTGTGATTCCACGATATCAGCAGTAACACGTGAATTGCTCAGGAAAGCATTTTGTAGTTTTTGGATTGTTAGTGTGTGATGGGAGAGTGTGGTCTCTCCGCCACACATGGTGGTGGTGTCTGATAGTGCTCCTTATTTTGTCTGAAGAAATGGAGAAATGTTTTAGAAAGAATGGCATAAAACATGTAAAACCTGCCCCCTATAATCCTTCTTCAAATAGTCTGGCTGCGAGAGCAGTAAGATCCTTAACCTAAGGATTATAGTGGTTTACAGGTGCTGCTAATACAAGGCTTTGTACATGTTTTGTATAATCAAAGAAAAACTGTTCCATTTTACCACCGGTAAATCTTCTTCTGAAATACTGTTTAATAGGCATTTCAAAGTGCATATGGAAGCAGAACAACAGATTCGGATAGAGAGAAATCAGTAACTAACCTGGCCAATCAGTTAAGGGAGGTGAGGTTTCCCTTAAAGAAGGGGATGCAGTATATGAAAGGAATTTTGGAATGGGTAAGCCTTGAGGTGGAAGGAAAAATGATTGAAGTCTTAGGCCGTAGGAATTTCACCATGCAAGTGCAAAGTTTGGACAATATTAATTGGAAAAAGACATGAAGATCAACTCATGCAAAGGTTTGAGGGAGAATTCTGAAGTCCCATCGGGTGTGATGGGCCAACTAGGGATACCAAACTTACATCGGGTGTGATGGGCCAACTAGGGATACCAAACTTACATCGGGTGTGATGGGCCAACTTGGGATACCAAACTTACATCGGGTGTGATGGGCCAACTTGGGATACCAGACTTTATAATGAAGGGATAACGCCTATAAGGGACAAAGGGGGCTGAGCAAGGATCAACAGAGGAGAATGTGGATAAGACTATGTCTAGGGAATCAGAAATTAGTAATTCAGAAGAAGGTTCCCCAAGAAAGTATCGGGTCTTGAGCCCCTGCTGAGAAAATCAGGAAGTCAAATCCTATCAGTCTTAAGTGACGTCTACTGAAGTCTATCAAACCACCTGATAGACTTAACCTGTAGGGAGGTAGAGTTTATTTCAAAAGGGGAGAAATGCTAGGATGGAAGGGGTTTTGCATGATGAAGTACTACTAAGGTTAGGTTTTAATATTATGATATAGATGCTCTTTTGTTCTATAAGGACTGTAAGAGATACATGGAACTTATACCGGTGACTGTTTTTGTTTTTAGAATAAAACCATGTCGACGCGCGTCTCACTTCCTGTCCATGAATAACAAGGATGATCAGGTGTAGTGATAATGATTACAGTGATTACCGTGATAATGATTACAGTGATTACCGTGATAATGATTACAGTGATTACCGTGATAATGATTACAGTGATTACCGTGATAATGATTACAGTGATTACCGTGATAATGATTACAGTGATTACCGTGATAATGATTACAGTGATTACCGTGATAATGATTACAGTGATTACCGTGATAATGATTACAGTGATTACCGTGATAATGATTACAGTGATAATGATTACAGTGATTACCGTGATAATGATTACAGACCTCCAGTGATTACGATCAACTGGAGCTCTGAAGTGACTCGAACCCACGACCAAGGCACTCCCAGTCGCGTACCTTACCACTGTACAACCCGCACTTGTTAAGCAATTTTAACTATTATCAAGATGGTACAGTGGTATGATGAGCGGCTGGGAGTCTCCTGGTCGCAGGTTCGAGTCACCTCAGAGCTTCGTCTCATTGATATCACGTTATCATATACATCACGTTAGTGTGATTTCTTTCTGTGTGTGTATATATGTGTGTGTGTGTGTGTGTGTGTGTGTGTGTGTGTGTGTGTGTGTGTGTGTGTGTGTGTGTGTGTGTGTGTGTGTATGTATATATATATATATATATATATATATATATATATATATATATATATATATATATATATATATATATATATATATATATATATATATATATATATATATATATATATATATATATAGATATATATAGATATAGATTGGATAATTCACATAAACTGATGACTTCTTGATATAGCAATAGAGCAGCTGCCGCTCTACAGGTCCCCCTGTTACTGCCTCTATACATGTCCCTCTGTTGCTAAATGAAAACTACGTAACCCCTCCCTCTATTTTCCAGCATCCCCCCCCCCCCACTACTACTACCCCCTTTCCCTTCTCTCTCCTCCGCCAGTCCCTCCCCCCACCCCCTCCGGCTCCTCCCAGTTGAAGGAAGTGTGCGCCGGAACTTATATAAGACGAGAGCAACTTAGCGCAACTTACACGAGCCCAACTTAGTGAGGCAGGAGCCGCCGTGGCGCCAACACCGCCGACCCGACACTCCCGGGCTCCACGCCTAGCGTACCGTCCACTCCTGCGGCAACTGCCAGCGATTCCATGGTGTTTTCCGGTATATAATTGTTACGAGCGGTCAGTACTTATTTGATTTTCTATTCAAATTGGTCATTCAAAATATTTATTAATTAAAAGTTGTAAAATACCGTTGGTTTTCTCTCGTCAATAAAGTAATGTGAAACTGGAATTTTCTAAATTTTGAAATTTGAAACTACGTACAATTTTTCTCTTGGAGTCTTTTCTCTTGGAGTCTTTTCTCTTTCTCTTGGAGTCTTTTCTCTTTCTCTTGGAGTCTTTTCTCTTTCTCTTGGAGTGGGGTTACAACACCGTCAGCTCAGGTTAGCGTAATTCTATGCCAACACTTGGATATAGTCGCCAGAGATGGGTTGCTGCGGTGGAGTGTGGTTGCTGGCGTGTGGTTGCTGGCTCCTCACTCTCCACGACTCCCTCGGACACCAGCAGGAAAATGATCGTTCGAAACTGATTGCAAAATGGCCTCTTCTGTCCGAACGACCTTCAGGTAAGCCGCTGTTCTTTATGTTGAAACTTATTTTATTGAAAACCAGACAAATAAAGTTAGTATGGAAATTAACATGTTTGCGGAACCACAAACCCGCTTAACGTTCTGGTCGTTTGTTATTGTTTGTTGTGGTTAGTTTGTTTAGTCGAGTCTATAAACGCCACGTGGTCAATGGTCTAAACTAATTCTCGGACAAGACTAAACCTTTCCTAAAAAAATCAAAGGCTTCTGTACACCTTGCAGTGAAATCAGTGCTGGGGGGGGGGGGGATTAGCCAACTGGTGTGGGTCGTCTTCTGCGGAATAGCCAGTCGTTGGTTAGCGGGGACATAGATATGTGTGAGGGGGTTCTGTGACCCCGCCAACGAGGTCAAGTTGGTAGAGGTCAGTAGAGTCTGTGCCTGCGACACCACTTTGGCGCCACTGTGATGTTACGCATCCCTTCCACACCACTTTGGCGCCACTGTGACGTCACACATCCCTTCTACACCACCTTGCGTCACTATGACGTCACACATCCCTTCCACACTACCTTGCGTCACTGTGACGTCACACATCCCTTCCACACTACCTTGCGTCACTGTGACGTCACACATCCCTTCCAGACCACCTTGGCGCCACTGTGACGTCACACATCCCTTCCAGACCACCTTGGCGCCACTGTGACGTCACACATCCCTTCCACACCACCTTGGCGCCACTGTGACGTCACACATCCCTTCATCACCATATATGAAACATTTGTTTTCCTTTGGTTAGGATAGGATAGATTGTTAGGATGGCTCAAGGTAGGATAGATAAGTTAGGTTGGCATAGCTTAGGTTGAAGAAGTATTGACGCTCCTGTTGCAAATATTGAGTTATTTGATTTTGGGTAAAATACAGCCTATTTACACGTAAATTAATAAAATATTTTCTAACAAATTATTATGTACGTTTATGTAAAAGTTATTACATTGGAATAATAATAATATAAAGAATATAAAGCAAATTGCCAAAGGCGTGTCAGTCCAAACGAGTTAGTACCTATTTATATCTACCCAAACTCACTCAAGTGTCTAACCTACGCTTGAAACAACCCATCAACTTCACAACTCTCATGTTACCCGGGTAATTTGTTTCATAAAACTGCAACCCTATTTTTAAACTAGTATTTACCCAGGTCTTTTCTGGGAGGGTTGAAATTGGCTCAATTACGATCTAGCAATTAGAGATGCATAGTACCATCACAAACAACTTACTTGAACTTATCAAATTTATATACTGTCAAAGATGACTTAGACAACAAGGGTCGTTTAATAGTTGATGTAAAGCATTTATGAAGTTAAACTACTTTACAGTACGTTACGAGACCATTGATGCTACGTTACGAGACCATTGATGCTACGTTACGAGACCATTGATGCTACGTTACGAGACCATTGATGCTACGTTACGAGACCATTGATGCTACGTTACGAGACCATTGATGCTACGTTACGAGACCATTGATGCTACGTTACGAGACCATTGATGCTACGTTACGAGACCATTGATGCTACGTTACGAGGCCATTGATGCTACGTTACGAGACCATTGATGCTACGTTACGAGGCCATTGATGCTACGTTACGAGACCATTGATGCTACGTTACGAGGCCATTGATGCTACGTTACGAGACCATTGATGCTACGTTACGAGGCCATTGATGCTACGTTACGAGACCATTGATGCTACGTTACCAGACCATTGATGCTACGTTACGAGACCATTGATGCTACGTTACGAGGCCATTGATGCTACGTTACGAGACCATTGATGCTACGTTACCAGACCATTGATGCTACGTTACCAGACCATTGATGCTACGTTACGAGACCATTGATGCTACGTTACGAGACCATTGATGCTACGTTACGAGGCCATTGATGCTACGTTACGAGACCATTGATGCTACGTTACCAGACCATTGACGCTACGTTACGAGACCATTGATGCTACGTTACGAGACCATTGATGCTACGTTACGAGACCATTGACGCTACGTTACGAGACCATTGACGCTACGTTACGAGGACATTGACGCTACGTTACGAGACCATTGACGCTACGTTACGAGACCATTGACGCTATGTTACGAGACCATTGATGCTACGTTACCAGACCATTGGTGCTACGTTACCAGACCATTGACGCTATGTTACGAGACCATTGATGCTACGTTACCAGACCATTGGTGCTACGTTACCAGACCATTGACGCTATGTTACGAGACCATTGATGCTACGTTACGAGACCATTGGTGCTACGTTACCAGACCATTGACGCTACGTTACCAGACCATTGATGCTACGTTACCAGACCATTGATGCTACGTTACCAGACCATTGATGCTACGTTACGAGACCATTGATGCTACGTTACCAGACCATTGACGCTACGTTACCAGACCATTGATGCTACGTTACCAGACCATTGATGCTACGTTACCAGACCATTGACGCTACGTTAGCAGACCATTGACGCTACGTTACGAGACCATTGACGCTACGTTGAGACCATTGATGCTACGTTGAGACCATTGACGCTACGTTGAAACCATTGACATTGTTGACTGTTTTTGTTTTAACAAAAAATGTTTTTCATTTTTAATCTCTTCATCCCGGAGCGTGAGGAAGGTCACGCTCCAGGATATTCCTCGATTCCCAGACTGCTGTTTAATCCTTGACACTACCTCCCACTACAATCAGAAATCACCAGGGTTTTACATAACTCCCCCCCATGCAAGTTGTGTAAAACCCTGGTTTGTGCCTCGGAGAGGCTGCAGGATCCAGTAAGTTCAGTAGAACTTCGGTTTTAATTCCTTTTGACCATGTCGTAGCTCAGTCGATTAAGGCAGCGTCTGGGATGCTCTCGGACGCAGGTTCGAATCCTCGTCACGGCCCTTGTGGATTTGTTCTACTTCCCACTCTCTTCTCTACTCTCTACCTCCCCTCTGCTCTTCCCCTCTACACTGTCCTCTTCCCCCCCCCTCTCTACCTCTACTGCCCCATTCCATTCTACTCCGACCCTTTCCCCTCTACTCTCCATCTCGACCCTGTCCACTTTCACTCTGCTCTTAATCTCTACTCCACCCGTCTCGCCCCCTTCAGTGACGCCAATGATGGATGATGACCCGAGTGCCTCATGGTGTTCCAAAATGAGCATCAATCTCTCTCTCTCTCCATCTCTCCATCATCAATGCTCTATTGCACTTTTCAGCGGGTTCTGTCGGGCCATCAGTCGCCTCCGCCCTCGACGACGGTTTAAGGGAAGCAAGTGTTGGTGAACCGGTCACTGGTCGAGGGATGAAACACTTTATCGTGTAGAGATGAAACACTTTCTCGTTATTTTCGTTAAGCAAGCCATCCCTGCTCCTCCACCATGGAAACAGCCTATCACAACGCTCCTCCACCGTGGAAACAGCCTATCACAACGTGCTGACACTTATCAAATAGGTTGTGGCCAAAGTGTGGCCAAATAGGTTGTCAAGGTGGCTTGGATTCATTCGTTTCTGGTTAGGATGTTGAATTTTGTACGTTGTAGCAATTTTAAAATAACAGTACTTAGCAACTATCTGGTCAAGCGTACTAATATTTACTGTTAAACCCCTTCCCCCCCCCCCTTCCCCCAAAATAGTTCACGTTTCGTATTACTGAATTAGCCTCAAATGGCATTCTAGAAAATTGGGCTGTAACTAAGAAACGTAACCTAACCTGTCCAAGCAATCCTAGGCTTAATATAAGTGTTATTCTACGCCTAGCAATTTTTAAATTTGGTTTTGAGTTTTTTCTTGGACTCGATAAACAAATTAACAGTAGAAAACTTCAACGTTATCTACGATCTGTTTCATCGGCAAACAAATCTGTTCTGACATTGTAGAATTAACTTAGGGCGAGTTTGTGTAGCATTAGCGTGTAAGCAAAAGCTTTAGGAGTGTCTTCTTTTGTTCTTCAAAAAGAGCAAAATTGTCTTCTTTTTCAGACTCTGCCAGCTTGATCAGGAATAATTACTTCCACCGAGGTGTGAAGGGAAGTAGATTGCTGAAGGAATGACGGGTTAAGGTCTGGAAAAGGTTTAGGGAGGGAAGGGTTAAGGTCTGGAAGAGGTGTAGGGAAAGAAAGGGTTAAGGTCTGGGGGAAAAAAAAAGTATAGCGAGGAAAGGAAAGTTTTGAAAACCAGTTCAAAACTTTTTTGTCCTAAGTTAATAAACTCATTAGTTCGTAATTAGTGGAGGCGCGTGTGATCCAGCAAGATTCGTGGCTTTTGTACCACCTAATGAGTTTTGATTACATTGTTTTGTTCGCTTTTTTGGTGGGAACATCTTAGGAATAATACATTCAAACATTTAATCAATTCTGCAGTAGTGGTACGTCGTTCTGTCTTTTTGTAATATATATTATTAATTTAATATTTTGATATTTTTGTTGGTGTTTGTATTGTGTTGACTGTACTTCTGTGTGCATGTTTTTTTACGAAATGCACACGTACGTGTGTGTGTGTGTGTACTCACCTAATTGTGCTTGCGGGGTTGAGCTCTGGCTCTCTGGCCCCGCCTCTCAACTGTCAATCAACAGGTGTACAAGTTCCTGAGCCTGTGTGTGTGTGTGTGTGTGTGTGTGTGTGTGTGTGTGTGTGTGTGTGTGTGTGTGTGTGTGTGTGTGTGTGTGTGTGTGTGTGTTTGCCAATGAAGGGTGATTGGATGGCAACATTGCCACACGGAGACCACACTGTAGGGTTTGACATACAGAGGCTTTGGGTGTTAGACCACACTGTAGGGTCTGAGTGTTAGACCACACTGTAGGGTCTAAGTGCTAGACCACACTGTAGGGTCTGAGTGTTAGACCACACTGTAAGGTTCGACTTATGATAGCCATTTTGGTTCTGTTGTTGATTATTTCAGCACTGCTCAATGGTTCTCAATGCGTGGGTGAACCATTGAGAAAGGTACGTCTCGGATTTAATCAGTCGAGTCGTTTGTAA